CCCCTCCCCCAGGCGCTGGCGCGGCTGAGGGCTCGGCGCCCCCGTTTGGCCGTCGCGGCGGAGATGGCGGCTCCTTCTCAGTTCGAGAACCTGAGAGCGGCAGTCGCCGCGAGGCTCCAGACGGCAGGGGCAGAGAAGAGGGGCTGCAGTGCGCGGGGTCACGCGGGCGCGGGGCTCTTCGGTGCCTCTGCCTCCCCCTCCCCGGCCTTCCAGCCCTGCCGCTCGCTGGGTTCTGTTCCCCTGCCCGGAGACCCGCCGCGCGGAGCCCGGGCCGCTTCGCTCACTTATCTAGTGGAGAAAGAGCTCTTCCCGCGCCTCCGGTGCCAGTCCTACAGTGGGTGGCGTCAGCGGGGCAGCTGACATCTGATGTGGCAGCACACAGGTGACTTTTTAGCTCTGAGCAGGGTGTGCTTGCACCTGGCTGCGACCGCAGCAAGTGGCCGCACCTGTCCGCCCACCTCCTGTGGCCCGGTGCAGCCCATTTCTGATTTGTGGCAGTCTGTTCTAGCACCGCAGCAGGACTTCACAATGAAGTTCCTCCTCCCTGCTTGGAACCACTGCGCCGCGTTTTTCTGCACACATCCCCGGCCAGCTGGATGGACTTCGCCTCCTGGGATGGCGCATGTGTGTATATTCGAAGATCTGCTGCACCTGAGGACCTGCTCTGCCAGCCAGATCCTAGGCCTGCTGCGGGTGGGGACTGAGGCCCAAGCGGTGGGCTCGTGGGCTGCTGCCCACCCGCAGGCCCCAGTGAGCTAGGTGCGTGCCGGGGACTTCTACGCGAAGGTTCTCCGGGCGAGTGGATGCCCGGCATGGCCCAGGCCTCAGAAGCACCGCGATAACCAGAAGCAAACGCCAAGCAGTGTTGTGCCCACTTCCTGGCCAGGTTCCAGGGTGGGCTGTACAGCGGCCCCTGAAGCTGCTCAAGGCCAGCCAGACCCTTCCTCTAGGGCCCTGCTTGCTCTCTCTTCTCAGTCTGCGTTTGCCTGCTTTGTGTCCACGAAACCAAGCCCTCTTACTGGTCCTGAGCCTTCATTTGAGTCTCTTAGGTGGTCCAATAGTTCTGTCCCTTCGCAGAGCCGCTCCTCTGGTTATTTTTTCTCTGGGTAGCTTCAGCGAGCACAGTGATGCGGCATGAAAGGATGAAAGGAAGAGCGAAGACTCCGGGATCAGAGTGCCGCTTCTCCCTTAAGGAATACCCGTGAAGAACGAGGGCCCAGGACCTCGTCATTGTCAATATTATGTACAGCTAATGTTAACTGATGAGTTACAATGCCGTAGGCCCTGTGTTTAGTGCTTTTTGTTATTTTATTTTATTATTTTTTTTGGTCTTTTTGAGACGGTCTCGCTGTGCAGTTCAGGCTGGCCTTGAGCTCCCTTTGTAGCCCAGGCTGGTCTCGAACTCGCAACGATCCTCCTGTCTCAGCCTTCCGAGTGCTGGGATTACAGGCATATGCCACCACGCCCAGCGCTTTCTGTTATTTCACCTAATCCTCACAGCATCAGAGAAAGATCCGGAGGAGACCAGCTGAGGGAAAAACCATCGTGTTGTCTTTGCAAATTACTGTGAATGAAGAGATGATGCGCTCAAAACACGTGCCTCATTGATTTTAGGGTTACCACAAGACGCTCACTTAGAATTTTCCTGTGGCGATTTATCTTTAGAGCGGCTTTCAACAAAGCGTTATTTTGGAAGTCTGATCACTACTCACGTCCCCGGAATAAAAGCAAAGAGTTAGATAATTACATTTGAGAGTACCGTGGAGTATAATAGAGGGTCGCTACTTCCGTCAGGACATTAGGAAAAAAGATGGCGGTGGCTGAGTAGGGGGCGCGGCGTCATTCGAGCCCCCGCCTGCCCTGGGGATGTGGGGCAGCGGGGCCAGCCCACGCCACGTAGGAAGCTCCGCCCCCGAGACAACCTCACGGAGCATGCGCTACCCAACAGTACTCTAATTGGCCGATCGGCACGCCTCGACGCACACTCTGATTGGTGGTTCCGGACCGGGAGGTCTGCTTCTACCCAGTCCTCCAAGCTTCGCGGCCAGCCGGCAGTTCCGGGGAGTTACGCGGGCAGGGTGGCTTTGATTGCAGCCTGGCACTCCAACTACGCTCGCGTCCGCTGTACATGTCTTCACCTCAGTCGAACATGTTCTCCAGGGACCAAGTGAGGCGAGTTCTGCAGAGGGTGCCCGGGAAGCAGCGACTTGGCGTCTACAGGTTCCTGCCCTTCTTTTTTGTCCTGGGAGGAACGATGGAGTGGATCATGATTAAAGTGCGCGTGGGCCAGGAGACATTCTGTAAGTGGGGGTGCAGCAGCCTCCGTTTCCCTTCAGGAAGGTACGAGGCGGCAGGGACCTTAGGGGCTGTTAGATAGCAGACTGCTCAGTCTTCGCAGCACCGAGCTGCGTTTTTACCCTTGTTGGAAGGGCAAGTGTGGTTCCATTCCTTGCCAGCTTTGGGGCAACACCGGCTGGAGGCCCGTTCCTTTTTTGTACGCCTAGTACACTGACGTCCAGTGTATAACTTTCTCTGCAATGTGAGGGGAGGGCACGTTTCCTTCAGTGAAGCCACCCTCCTGCCTCTCAAGCCTTTTACCCTTGCCAGTGACATTGCCTGGGCCTAAGAACAGGACTGCGCTCAGCAACAGAATGAAGGTGGATCCCGAGGATTCGTGGAAATCCCTGCTGTACAGCCTATCCTCTCAGCACTCTAGCCCAACCCTTGGAAGGAGCTGTCTGGTCGCTCAGCTGATTACCACTGTCTTTGCAGGCCGGCCATTTGCACCAGGTCTTTGGCCTGGAGTCAGATGCTCAACATTGTGAAAAGAATGTCTGGCATTCATTTGCAGGCCAAGTCCCTCTTTAAGAAAGAGTTCTCCAAGCATTAGGTCATTTCTGCTTTGCCTCTCTCCTGAAACACTATCGCTTGTGAATTGGGAACTTTCATTTGTAGTGTTTCCGTCTGTTACACGTTCATCCATGTTTAATGACAACCCAGGAGTTCTGATGGACAAAGCAGAGAAGGTCTTCCACTCTGGCAGAGCTAATTGGGAAGCCAGATCATAGGAGTTATCTTTGCCAGGCGTGGTGGTGCACTTGTAATCCCAGCACTCGGAAGCTGAGGCAGGAGGATCGTTGCGAGTTCGAGGCCAGCCTGGGCTACAAAGTGAGTTCAAGACCAGCCTGAACTGCATAATGAGACCCTGTCTCAAAAAGACAAAAAAAAAAAAAAAAGTTATCTTTGGGGCCAGGGTTGTAGCTCAGTAGTAGAGCACTTGCCTAGCATGCAAAAGGCCCTGGGTTCAGTCACCTCACTGGGGAAAAAAAAAACCAAACCCAAAAAACTATTAAGTGATGTGGGGTGAAATTCGAGGATAACTGGAGTTCTAGGCGGGGGATTACCATGTCAGATAGGCTCTAAAACTCAGCTAGGGGGATATGTGTGCGTGTGTTTTCATGGTAGTGTAAGAGGAGGCCTGAACATCTTAGGTGTATGCTGTTTGACAGAAGCAGATGAAGGGTGAAATAGCTACAAAGATGTCTAGGCAGAGCCACAAAGGCACCGAGATATATATTCCTTGGGAGCCAGGGATATAGCTCAGCGGCAAAAACACCTGTCTGACATATATATTCCTTGGGCTATTTTCCTGGAACCAGGAATTATAGCCAAGGATTGGAAGGTTTGAGAATGTCTTTGTGGAGAGATTGGTAGAACACTTAGGTTGAGGTGGTGGCCTGGCTGAGGCTAGGGAAGAGATACCAAGAAACGAGCAAAGGTGAGACTGTCTAGGATAAGTGCTAACAAAGTTTGGTGATTGAGGGCACTCAAAGAATGGAGTTTACAGGCTTCTGGTGGGACATCTGGGGCAGGGGTGGTACTTCTCTTGCAGGTACAGAACACAGGTAGGGTGATACTAGCCTTCATTTAGAATGGGCTCAGGTGGAGATGGTTATACAGATCTATGCCCAAGGAGGTACATCTGGGCCAGAAATCTGGAAGTGTGGACCAATCACAGGCAAACTGTGATGAGAGTGTCAAGTCCCAGTATGTTTAGGTTGGCCTGGAATGGCCAGAGACAGAGGGATACCAGGTTGTTGTCACAGAAGACAGGTTAAAGAAGTGTGGCTTTGTGAAGGGAAAATAATCCCCAGCCTTAGGGACTGGAGGATATACACCTGCTGATCAGAAAGGCGAGGATGGAGAGAGGCTGGACACCTGGACCCTTGGGAAAGTGAATGGGGTCAGTATCTGATAGGAGAACCTGCCCTTGGAAGTTAAATAGCCTTGGAGGGGCCCACTTTTTTTCCTTCTCTTTTGCAGTACAGTACTGGGGATTGAACTCAGGGCCTTTACACTTAGCTACATCCTCAGCCTTTTTTTTTTTTTTTTATTTTATCAAAAACAGGTTCACCCATGTCGTACTTGTTTTTTTTTTTTGTCTTTTTGAGACAGGGTCTCTCTCATTATGCAGTTCAGGCCAGCCTTGAGCCTACTTTGTAGCCCAGGCTGGCCTTGAACTTGCAATGATCTTCCTGCCTCAGCCTCCCGAGTGCTGGGACAGGTGTGTGTCACCACGCCCGGCCCTCAGCCTTTTTTTGAAAGTGGTTCTCACTGCTAATGCCCAGGCTGGACTCCAGGGTTTTTGTTTGTTTTTTGTTTTTCTTCCGGTACCAGGAATTGAGCTCACGACCTTGCGCTTGCCAGGCAGGCGCTTTGCCCCTGAGCTAAATCCCCAGCCCCTGGACTCCAGGTTTTGATTCTCCTGCTTCAGCCTCTGAGTGCTGGGATTAGAGGTGTGTGCCACATTGCCCAGATAGAGGGCAGTTTTTAGTTAAGGATGATTGTAGAGAGCAGATTAGAAACTGTCAGAAGAAGGAAGTGAGGGAAGTCTTAAAAGACTAAGATGTACCAGGACTGGATCTTCTCTTTGAGGGACATGATATCTATACCCTGCTATTTAAGTCTAAAACTCCATGAACACAGTTCTCACTTAAGTTGTTTTGTTTCAAAGTTTATTTTGGTATTGAGTTAAACAACGCTGAGATTCAGAAATAGGTGACAGACTTATACTACTGGTGGAATTACTCACTTTTAGTTTCTTAAAAATCTAAGTAAAATTTTTGTTTGATACAGATGATGTCTACCGTAGAAAAGCCTCAGAAAGGCAGTATCAGAGAAGGCTGGAAGATGCATCAGAAGCTGAACTTCAGCAGTCAATAAAGTGAACATGAATTGTACTACTGGTTTTAGTTCCTTTAAAAATGTACTCCTCAGAACTCACTTCACAGTTT